GCCAAAAGGTTAGCGGAGTCGCCGTCGTTATTGGTCGGGCCATTGAGACTTAGCAGTTGCGAAACTCCAGTTTTGGTTTGACGAAGATAGGCTGCATAATGGAATAAACTTTTCGGATTGGAGACAAATTTATCCATAAGCTTTATCTGGTACTGAAGTCTGTCTTCTCTTATAGCCTTCGTGCATATGTTCCTTATATGTTTTTATTGCATGTACGCACCTTTATTGTCAGTTCGTTTGTATTCTGCTCAAGAGTGCCTTTTGCGGCTTAGCAAACGAAGGGTGTGGTCTTGATAATTGTAAATTGTTTGTAGCTATTGAAGACCGTTTGAGGAACTGACTGCTTTGTAGCACATAAGAGCGTGTGTAGTAAAACGTCCCAATGAGCATCCACACCAAGTTGAGTGTAAACATCCGAAACCATCTGTTGTAGATAGTCGTGTAGAGCTGACACATTCAATCGTTTGAAATTCCAGCACCTGTTGTTGGTGGGATATCTTAGCTCAGTTTTGCTAACAAGACTGAAGGCTATAATGGCGTGGTCACTTTTCCCCAGGGGAGCCATGATTTAGAGGTTGTCAACTAGAAATTTTTCGTTTGTAAATACACAACCTAAGCGCGACGGTGTCTGACTGCTTCTCCAAGGAGTTGCCGACTACACATTTTCGTATAATCCCAGATCCGCAATGATGTTGAAGATATTATTTATTTATTTATTATTTGAACACATAAATATTGGTACAAGAGAGCGCCAATATATATGCGCCACACAAAACAATGGGAATTCGAAGAGAAGTAGAAAGAAAAAAAAAGCTAAGGAACGCAAAAGAAAAAGAGAGTAATGACGAAGAGGTACAATCAGAAGAAATCTTTCAGGTAAAGGAGACACAACCACTTTTTATGAAGAAAGTAAAAGAAGGTTACAGCAGGATCGCCACTGGCTTCTATTCTGAGCCATATCTGATAACGTCTCTAGCCACTGTGTAGCACCATCTCTCGGACCCCAGCCAGGGAGTCGGGAAGGACCAACACAAGCCAGTTTGTTTGTAGCTTTCTTTCATGCCACGACACCATGTCATGCACTGACCACCTCTCCGCTTCTTCCAACCAGTCCCAGAGTCGGCAAATAATGCACGACGTGGAATTCTCTGGGACGACATTCGGAGAACATCTCCAAGCCACCGAAGTCGGTGTTTCAAGATGGTGACACCAATTGAGTTATCATCTCTGTGCCCGAACACACGATGCCGAACCTCTGCATTACTGACATGGTGTTGCCACTGAATGTCAGCAATCCTTCGAAGACAGCGATGATCGAACACAGAGAGTCGTCTAACGTCCTCAACTCGGAGAGGCCAGGTTTCACAAGCATAGAGCAAAACTGCTCTCACCGACGCGTTGTAGATCCGGCCTTTTACAGCCAGACCAACATCACAAAGGCGCCAAAGGTGGCCCAGATTGGTATAAGCCGCTCTGGCTTTCACTATTCGTGCATTGATCTCATCACTCACACCCCCACCAGCACTTATGCAGCTACCCAGATACACGAACTTCTCGAATACTTCTATATGCTCATCATCCAGAGTGAATACAGGATTAGAGTCCTGTCAGTCTTGTAGAAGCACTTTGCACTTCGAAGGTGCAAAGCACATACCATACCTACGGACACTGATTGCCAACTGATCAAGTGCGGATTGCATGCCTTGGGCATTATCGCACAGTAAGACAATATCGTCCGCATACTCAAGGTCGAGAAGTCTTTCTCCAGACAACAGATCCACACCACCATTACTTACATTCATCAGAGCTGTTTCCAGAATGTCATCGATGGCAAAGTTGAAGAGGAATGGTGAGATTGGGCAACCCTGCCTAACCCCACTGCTCGAATGGAACAATGGAGAAAGGTGGTTGTATGCCCTCACTCTGCCTGAGGTGTTTTTATACAGGGCTTTTAGGATGTTAATAAACTTCTCAGGCACACCCTTCTTCAATAGACAATCCCAGAGAACAGTCCTGTCCAACGAATCGAAGGCAGCCCTGATGTCAAGAAACACTACGATTGTTGGCCTTTGATAAGTATGGCGGTGTTCTAACATTTGGCAGAGGGTGAAGATATGATCAATACATCCTCGACCAGAACTAAACCCAGCCTGCTCCTCGCGAGTCAATCTTTCTCGGGTTTTGAACAACCTACGAAGAATGACGGAAGCCAATATCTTGGACGCAATCGGAAGTAGACTTATCCCCCGATAGTTGTTACAAGAACGACGTGAACCCTTTTTAAAGATAGGGACAACTATCGACTCATTCCATGACGTTGGTACACTCTCTAGTTCCCAAACCTTTGTAAACAACGTCGTCAATTCCTTAGTCAAAAAGTCACCACCATCTTTAAAAAGAGCCGGAGGTAAGTCATCTGGGCCAGGTGATTTGTAACGCTTCAAGAGTTGGAGTTCCTTGCGGACTTCCTCCTCATTTGGTGGATCAGTCGTCACCGGCCATGGAGGGCAGGACAGTCTGACCGATGTTGCCGGAGCAGCAGGCCAGTTGAACTGCCCTTCGAAAAATTCTGCCCATCGTCCAAGACGTCGATGGATGTTAGTGATTGGCATCCCATCATCCTCGCAGATTGTTTCACTCACACCAGACTTCTTGCTGCCAGTGGCTCGGATGAGCTGGAAGAGCTTCCGGTAGTTACCAGATGCAGCTGCTGCTTCCAGCTCATTAGCACGCATCGATCACCAGGCTTCTCGGTCCTTACGCAAGCTTTGCCCGATTTCCTTACGTAAAATCCTTCGTTTATGGTCAAACTCACGGTCACCCGGAGTAGACCGACGGGCTTTAATGAGTTGTAAGGAACCAGAAGAAACCCAGTGCTTAAAAGCGGGACGTTTCGCAAACCCACAACTGACTGTTCCCGCCATTTTCATGGCGTCATGCAATTGCAGCCAATGCTCATCTATACTTTTCGGTGGAGTCGTAGCTAGCCTAGAGGCTAGCTCGGTTCGATACTTACTTGCAACAGAAGTTGCAACCAGCTTGCTAACATCAATCCGTTGATGGCGTTCACTTCGTTGTCCACTGAAAAGTAAGGCAAGATTGGCGCAGACCAAGGCATGGTCAGAGTCCAGATAGGTACTCCAAAAGGAGCGGCAGTCTTGTACACAACCACGCCAGCGGTAGCTGATCGCGATGTGATCAATCTGAGTCCAGGCTTGAGATGCAGAGGGAGGACGCCAGGTGGCACATCGGCGATGACTGTGCCGAAAGTTAGTGCTAGCCAGAAACAGGTTGTGGTCTGTGCAAAGTTGCAGTAGACGGTCCCCGTTATCTGACCTGCGACCAACGAGTCCCCATCGGCCACCTAAACGACTCTCTTCTGTGCCTAGACGCCCGACCTGAGCATTCAAGTCTCCGGCTAGTACTGCAATATCTGTCGAACGCACTTTCTGGAGAAGAACTGATAACTGGTGGTAAAACTCATCCTTGATTGCATCCGGGCTGCAATCTGTCGGGGCATAGGCGGAGATGACGAAAAGACATCGTTTCTCACGCCGATTTCTTCTCACTTTGATGGAACTTTCTAATCTAACAGCACATAACCGACTGTTAATGGGGATCCAATCGACTAGTGCTGCCTCAGCTCTAGCGCTTAGTGCGACACCAACGCCAGCAAGACCAGAAGAAGATGCCACAGGGTCCCCGGATAAGCGCACGCAAAACAAGCTTTTCGAAGCGACAGATGGAGATCGAATTTGTAGTACTTCGCCAGAGTCTTGAATACGGGTCTCGGATAGACAACACACGTCGATATTAAGACTTTCCAAAGACATAGCCAGCCCTATCTGTTGTCCGACCTGCATAAATGTGCGAACGTTGAAGGCAGCCAGTTTGAATGGTGCACGTGGTTTCAGAAAATCTGCTTCAGTCCTCGTATTCGGTGGTAATATACAATTTTCAACCGGACAGTGACTCGAGAACGTTTAGATACAGTCGGAATTCCACCAAAGACGAGCCGCTATATAAGTATAAAAGAAGGTGAATAATGTGGAAAATAATAATAATAATGATAATAATAACAATAATGACAATAATAGTAGTAATAATAATATTAGTATTAATAATGACAATAATTGTAGTGATCATAATTTGAATCAATTGATTGTTTTTCAAAGCGACAAAAGTAATTTCCATAGACATAGATAGTTCATCATTTGTGTGTGGGCTGTGATACTGCCCGGGTGCCCAAACCGAAGCAGGTGGTTATCTTAGGGGGCCACTCCCCGAGCCTTTGACCTAAAGGTCTAACCCACAAGGCAGTGGAGCATCGTAAGGAGATGCAGTCCCATGGTAGCCGGTGACCAACGATTGGTTCATACGCCATTCGTTCCCGCAGGATACTGGAGCCCATGTGCACCATTGATTTGGAATCCGGTTAAAGCGCCGGACATTCGCTTTTCGTCCTCTCATTTTCGTAAACAACACGCCCGCCACGAGAAGGCAATGAGTAGGACCGGGCTTCAATTGAGTTTTCACCTCCAATATACGTATGTTCCGCGAAGTTGACTCTAGAGAGATTGAAGTCCTCTGGAATCAGGATATGAGTGAATCCGAGACGCGTAGAGCGGGATAGTCCTCCCAGCATACGACTCTCATAGTCGATGACGGCATTGGTCTTCCTATAGATGACCCCGTAGCTTTAATTATGGTCTGCGTGTTATTGTGTCATATCTTTTTGCTCCTTTCAGCATTAATAATCTCCGAGGTCATAGCAAGAAGGTTCACAAACTGCGATCAAATAAACTTAAAGTGGGGTCCCGTTTTTCTCATCGAGAAGTCAAAGACTGGAACGCGTTATCCGAACATGTGGTACAGCTCCATTAGTGAATATTTTCAAGGAGAACCTGGAACTTCACTAGAAGTCAATCTGTCAGGATTAACATAGGTTCACCAACCTACTATCCTTACCAATGAAGTCTAAAGACTGACTGAAATAAGTTGGCTCGAGATTGAAAATCTCAAGGTTGGAGGTTCGTCAGTGGTTTGATGAACGCCAGGAGTTAGAATTACATTATTAGAAACAAGTGAGTCTCTCCAACAATTCAATGCACATATAAGAAGTGCTTTAAAATTCAGGATCTCAGGTTAACAATTTCTAGTATTGATTATCGCATAAATATATTTAAAACTATTTTCCCAGTTTCACGTTTGTTTGATTGCTAATTGTCATCGACTGCTTTCACCATCAAATTTTAGTGCTTCTCGCGTGCCTGGAGGGAGGTCTTCCTTCAACATAAACCGTACCTTCAAACCAGGTATAAACTTCAACATGTTGACTTTCAAATGATTACTAGTTTTTAAAGACGAATTTACAATTAGGTATTTCAGAGTAGAATTGGGGTTCAAGTTATAAATAAATTATTTACTTATTTTATATACATCTTATCTGTAGAGCTTATGCAACCCTCTGTGGATTGAAAACGATCGTTTGGGGATAATTTTGGCTTAGGTGATATAAAAAAATGTATGCATATAAATGTATGGTAGGCCTTTCACTCCCCAGTCAATTATGACTTTGGCCATTATATCAGCAAGCAAAGTTCATATATCGCTGATCGTGATCTTGGCTCCTGTATCAATATGGTGTTTAGTTGCGGGACTTAGTGAAACAAGTAAGAGCGATCATTTAGATGCCATGATTGACTATAAATATATCGCCCAAGCATTTATATCTTGATAGGCTGTAAAGCTGGTGTATTTGCTAAAAAATGATTTTACTGGAGAAGGCAGTAGAATAATCTGAATTTTCTACAAACTAGATGAAGCTAAATCTTAGGTAATAAATGTATAGTTACCCAGTTTCAGTTTAACCTTTAAAATGTAGCACACTGGAAAGCCTGTATTCATCTTGGGTATGAGGATCTCTCTTCATCGAACCTACTTTTGAGTATGTTTTCCAGGAGAGCTGTAGCCATGTGCGAAGACGTGAATAATTATCCCACTTTTAGTGTCTGATTCTTGTATGGATTTTCATCCGAGTGACTATTAAAATACGTTTCAACTTTTATGCACTCATTTTTGTTGAAATTTTCTATCCCTAACGATATTATTGAGAATCACTTTGTACGTTATTTCAGCTATGGAGGTACCATACATAAATTGGATGAGGAGTATCAGTGTTTATGAAAGCCCCTCGCACATCTACCTCGTTGGTTCTGATGTTGGGGAACGCCATTTCCGAATTCTCAAGATCGCTCGTGCTCCTGTTCCCTTAAAGGAAGATCACTTGTGGCTTGATAAAGAGTGTAGTGCTTCTGAAGCAACTGTTGAAGCAGAAAGTTTAGTTGATCGAATATGGCGTCTGAATATAATTGAGGATCCTCATATTTATTCCAAATCAGAATTAGCACGATTGCTGCATGTTATCCAGGCAACTAGTCGGGTACGTTTGCAATATCGACTTAGAATTTTAGTGAATATCGTCCCATTTCATTTATCTGGTATGTACTACTGGATACAACAGTTATGTAAAAATTCCTCTACTTTGCTTTTTAGTTTCGTGAGGTATTATGTACTACTGTCAGATCCTAGGTGACACAATTCGATTTAGATAACCGTCTTGTCCTCTTCTTTCTCTTCATAAATATAGTCTTAGACAAACACGGCTTAGATCAGATTACTTAACTATGTAGCCGGTCATAATTATTGGTTCCGAACCAAAATAAACTAAACTAATTTTATATACTGATTTTCAATATAAAAAATGCAATTATAATTGATAAACAATCAATGAAATAGCTATTTGGTCGTACCATAAGTCACGATTTTGTAAGTTCTTGACCTAGTCTCATTTTCTAACGCCTGTCTGTCAACTAAGAGCTGTCATTTGTGTCCAAACACCGTAGGTGTATAGTGGGTGGCTAGGATCCGCACGATAATGATATCTAATAATAATACTCTGTGGTTGGAAAATAAGTGATATGAATTGTGGTCAGTCTCAGTAACTTTGGTGCATTTACTCTTCGTCTTTCTGATGTTCTTGAGTTTTAATACTATTTCACAATCTTTAAACTCTTCACTTTTTTTGGAATTTGTCTAGCCTTTCTCACTACTATTAATACCATTATTAATTCAACTTTTTTACTGTTCATCTTTTCGACTTCCTTTGTGCTGATGTGGTTATGATTGTCTGAGTCATGTGACAAATGTAATGTGCATCAGTGTTGTACGACTAAAGCGTACTCTGTCGAAGCACAACATATACTTAGGCTGTAGTTATTTCCCCGTACATGTCTTCGAAGTATCGCATGCCTATGAAAATTACCCATTGGATAATGCCTAATCTCCAAGTGGGCTACTAAGTGAAAGCGGAAAGTCAGTAGATGAGCTTATGAACCCTTACTGATTGAAGTGATTGGGACTTCTGTCATTCTTTTCTAGATACCGTCTATCCTAATGTCCATTGGGCTGCGAATTTATTTATTGTAACACAGATATTGGTACAAGGAGGCACCAAATACATATGCGCCAAACAAATCTCATTTGATTTGTGTGAGGGCTGTGATACTGCCTGGGTGCTCAAACCGAAGCAGGTGGTTTTCTTAGGGGGGCACACCCGGAGCCTTCGGTTTGATCCACGAGGCAGTGGAGCATCGTAAGGAGATGCAATACCATGGTAGCCGGTGACCAACGATTGGTTCACACGCCATTCGTTCCTTCAGGATACTGGACCCCATGTGCACCATTGGTTTGGAATCAGGGTTTTTCAACTCCCCTAGTTGGATCCACAATTTGGTAAACAACAGTAATGCCACGAGAAGGCAGTAAGACTTCCCTGGCAGAGGCTATATACGCGTGACCATGTGAGAGCATTTCGAGAGAGAGGGCGGACTCTCCCCACTCTCGGCCGTATCAGGGCATTTGAGGGCTGGGCTGTGAATAGTTGGAAATGAACTAAACAAGAAGTGTCGACCCGTCGTCCTGTGGTGAAAGGTACTTTTTTCGTAGTTTGGACCAACGTAATACTCGTGATCAACAACTGGAGATGCTGGGTGACATGAATCGAAATTGGTCACAGTGGCGCAGTTGCATTCATGCTCTATATCCCCTTGGACTTTGGGTTAAGGGACATTCCTCAGATTTCTTTCTTGGATCTGCTTTGTTTCTTTCGAAATGTGTTTGTCTCGTGTGCACTGTCGTTGCATTTACTTTTTTATTCCATTCTACTTCTAGTCTTTCCGATTTCGTTCGCTTTACTGATATGAGGTATGGCAACTTAACATACATTAGTGTCAGACCTAATTGCAACTATGATTGAATGAGTTAAATATAAATTATTTCTTGGACAATCAGTTTAGAACCCATTCATTCTATTAGTATGTATTTCTGCTGACAAATAATTATTATGTATACTTGAGTAAAAAATGTCTCCAGTCATCAAAATTATGGAAATTTAGATAGCATATATGATGTTCGTTTTGTAGTCATAAGAATATTAAAATTGTTTTAATTTGCATTTACAGTTTTATTTGTGCATATTGTTTTAAACCCTACTCATAAATTATCTTATGTAATTCTGTGAAATATTCTGATATTCGTAGCGTTTCCATTCACAAACTAGTTCTCATGGTAACGACAAGTTGGAGCCATCAAAATCTCCTAAATGGTCACTTTTTTCAAAGCGTCGGCCTCAGGAACATTTGCCCAAAATCGACGAAACTTCATCTATTTCGAATTTAAATATATCTCACGATATGATTTCTAATCCAAAGGATTTACAGCAAGCTGCAGCTTCTGCTCTGTTCACTGGCAGCAGTAAACGTTCTCTAGTTTTAGTTACAAAATGCTATGGGGTCGTTGGAGTTGTACGATTTCTACGTGGTTATTACCTTATCTTAATTACTAAATACTCAGTGGTTGCACAATTAGGTGAACATCAAATCTGTAAGGTCAGTACACGTTTTAAACGTTTTCTTGTTTTTCTTTTCATTCAAAACGAATCAGCTGGAAAAACGGGGCTTTATTAGTTAGTTAATAAGACACTGTTATTATGCTTAAAATAACTGAATTAAATGACTCAATCAATATATGACTTCATGCCTGACCCTTCCTAAAGGACACATAGTTTCAACTCCATCAACTGGGAGTTTTCAAATTTTAATTGACAGCATAGTTCTCCATGGAGTTTACCACTTCATGAACAACTTATATGGTAAGCAATCATTATTATTTCAACTTAAATTATCATCGTTGGTTATATTTTTACGATGTCATAGTAATTACTTACCTGTAGTCGCATAAAAAGACATTTTCATTAATTACTTGTCTCATCAAAATTTTAAATGTTTAGAAGCTACACTTTCAAAGGATATGGAATCCACTAAACTCAATTCCATGGTTTTTATTAGTATCGATAGGTCTTGACATAGTGCATATGCCTGACAGTGCGGAACAACCTTTCATTATTTCCATTGATTTTGCGATAGATATTACCTTGTAGTAGTAACTATCTCCAACCAAACATTTAATCATGTGCATTGAAGAACACTTCATTTGTTTAGCCTCCAACTTTTACTTAAGTTTTAGTAATTTGATGCACTGTAATGACTGGATTAAATGAAGTGGAAGGATGTCCAATTTATTCTTTGTTTTAAAGTATCATTATGATTAGTCACTTATTTGGTTAGAAACAATCGGTAAAAGGCCTCGTAAACTAATAATTATCCCTACTATTTCCATTCGGAAAATGTAAATAAACTATGTGTCGCATTAGTTTCTGTATGAAAACTTCTTGTTGTCTCATATGTTAATTTACTCTGTTCAAGCAAATAGTTAGTATCGATAGCCCGTACACAATGAGAGTTTTGGTTTTGGAACTTAATTTCGTAGATTTTTCCTATCAACCTACACGTTGATTTTCCAGAAAATAAACGGTACGTTTCTTCTCAAACTAGTATTTCTGACTCAATTTAAAATGGTTTGGATTACCTCATTGTTGATATTTTTTAATGAAACTCAATCAGTTTTGGTTGGCATATGGGCATCCTGCGCGGATTATCCTGATGTGATCATTATGACGATAAGAAAAAACGCGTGTCCTAGATTCCGCTGCTAGCCATATTTCGTCTATTCTATATCTAGCCGTATTTCTGTTCTTGACACACCTAATAAAGTTGATAAACTTTTCCGCCTTGTAAGAAACTCCCATATGATTATACTTTGGTGGTTGTTAAGTGGATATCACTGACAGAAACAGATACACCCAGTTGACTGGTAAATAGTTTGACGAAATCGCCATTTAAAGCAATTAGTCCCTTTGATAAATTTCAATAATGTAATACATCTAAATCGCCATTGTTAATTCCTATGACAGCCCATTCGAAATATTATCATGATCTAAACTTGTTACACTGACTTTCTAATTTGATGTATAATCACTTTACTATCCTTTGTTTGCACATTGGTCTCAACATTTTATATTTTCTTGTATTCAAAGGTTGAAGATACTGCTATACTTTATATTCCTGGCAATGATTTTGTTGATGAACGTGGACTTGCAAATAATGGTTCCAGAAGTCATTATTCTTCAATGTCTTCTTTAAATAGTACAGTTTCACAAGATCTCGATAACGATTCTTGCTCTAATGAAGATGAACAACAAACAGGATTATTTCATCTTATTAAAAGTTCTATAGGACGTAAGAAACTCTCCAGTGATGAAATGCGATATTTAAAGCTATTTAGCAGTGTAGATTTAGCTAGCAACTTTTACTTTAGTTATACCTATGATTTATCCCATAGTTTACAATATAATATGGAGCCTGTAAGTTCTATAATTTCATTTATTATTAATTTTCGTTGTCTACTAAATGTACATTAGTTATCACCAAATGGCTAAATAGTTAAAAAAAAGTGAGAAAAATTGCAGAAAACAAGCTGATATGAAATAATTAGATACATAAAATTTGAGGTAGAATAAATGTGTGTGTATAGTTTTGTATGAGACGTATTTCTATAATCTTTTTACCGATTTCCTCCTCATCCTGTTTTTTGTTATTTTTCTTGTTGCTGATGAATACATACATGTTATAACTGGAAAGAAATAAAATCACAATATGCTATTATCCTTACTGCTTGGTGATATTTGTACTTCGGTCTCCAGAATACGTGATGGTTTTGCAACCTATAAGCTAGACTTTTTTCTTGTTGGTATCGCTCTCTCAAGTTTAGCCGATATCTTAGGAGCTATTAGGCATTTTAGTATGTGACAGTAACCTGATTGGACCCCATAAACAATGTTACTGCTTCGTCGTTATACCTATTTTTCTTCGAGAAACTGGATATACTACAGTACCTCTTAATTCAACTCTGTCCCAAACGGCAATAATGGTTCGTTGAAATAGTGCAAATAAACTAACTGAAAGTTATAGTGCTCAAACTGTTCCATGTACTGTCTTTAGTGAACATGTACTACCGTCCATATCAAAACATAACTAACGGTTCATTCATGTCATATTCTTAGTATTTCTGCATATATTATCAGTTTGTACACTATTGATAAGTTTATCACCACTGAATCTATCTTTTGCTATGGAGTGTAAACAATCACTAAATGTCGTACTGTAAAATCATTCCACTCAAACTTTTATGCTATCTATTACACTCACTGTTTCACATTCGCTTTGTAAAATTTATTCAAAATACTCATTTTTAAGTTACTTGGAGATCATGTTATTCCAGATAAAGTAGACTTGAATTTATTTCTATTATTACCTAAAAATTTGTATAAGCCTGATCAAGCCTGTAAGTTGGCATTTATTCTGCACTAATTTGCAAAATATAGGTTTTATTGGAATAAACGAAGTTTCAATGGGTAACACCCATAACATAAACTAAATAATTAAAAGAGCAAAGGAATTCTATCACATGTATGTAAATATTTTTTAAATAGGTAAAATGCAATTGCTTAGTATTAGTGGTACATTACGATAGGTAAGAATCAAATATTACCAGATCCGGGTGTTGATAACAACATAAACCCTCAAATAGTAATGGGTGGTAAGTCTGATACCCTAAAGGAAGCGATCAAGGTGGAAATAAATTTATATGGAAAAGAAGAGATCAAATACGGGTTAATTAGTGTTCAACCTATACCATTTAAAAAGAGAGTTATCAATGTCGAAGTGTGTCGTCCTGCCTTTTGATCAACAGAAATTTCATACTTAACATTTGATTACACGGTTTTATGTTATACTATCTAGCTTTCTTCAACACCTATGTAAAGTTTCTTTGTTGAGAAACGTCAAGAATACTGATTGATGGCTACTTTCTTATAGTTATTAAGCAAACTTGTTGAAATGTTTGGACATCATTCATGCTTATTGACATGAACCTATGTCAACCACACACTAATGATCCAAAAACATATACTTTTGTTTCGAACTCACTAACGATCCAACCAGATTGTTTTTCCTTTAAAAAATCCTGTCGCAAAAATATCAGTGTTGTAGATGTTTCTAATTATACTGGCGAACTGTAATCGATATGGTTGATATCCACCATTACACGATGTAGTTCTCCAAATATCCTGCTCTTTTTTCTTGGATTGTGATAAACACTCAGCTATTAGAAACATCTACACATACTTCTTTTAGAATTTATATTTTTCCCTCTCGTTCTTATGAATATTACTTTTTTGCACAATGAAAAAATATATCATTCCGCTAATAAATACACAAGTTTTATTCACATTACTGTTCCAGTGTAACACTAAAATATATATTTATTGTTCATAAAACATGTTCTACAGAGCATCTTGTTTAGATTTCCTTATTACTTTGTGATTTAACGATACATAGTTAGTTTTCGATCATATATGCCAGTCAAAGTATGCTCATAATTCTGTGAACATGCAAGTCTCACACTTAATTCTTGTCCCATCTGTGAGTATCTATTCCATAAGCTATACCACATAGGTATCATGCTATTTAGAGCGTGTGTAATTGTCTGATTTCTTTTTGTTTTCAAGTTATTTAAGTCTGATTGTCAAGAATATATCCATCTGCTAACATCAAAATATATACCCAATGATAAGTATGTTTGGAATTGGAGATTAATTCCACCGAGATTTCGACCAGGATGTAACCGTAATGGCTCTCGTCTCATTATTGATCAGCCTGAATGGTTCACTTTGTTATTTCATGGTAGTATTAGTCAAATAGCCTTATCTGCTTGCCGAATGCCAATGATGGTTACTCTTATTGCTCGTAGATCAAGACATTTCGCTGGTCGGCGATTTTTGAAACGTGGTGTTAATCTGGTTGGTGATGTTGCAAATGAAGTAAGTATGATTCTGTGCCCGTTCTTTTAACTTTATCATGCAATTTTAAGGCAGCTTTTCTCTTATAACGGTAATTCCTTATGCATTGTGATTCGTTTTCAAAATCGATTCTGGAAACTAATTAATATCATTTAGAATCCAACTAAAGAGCATCAGATATAAAGAATGCCCCCAAATGCCCTGATACGGCCGAGAGTGGGGAGAGTCCGCCCTCTCTCTCGAAATGCTCTCACATGGCCACGCGTATATAGCCTCTGCCAGGGAAGTCTTACTGCCTTCTCGTGGCATTACTGTTGTTTACCAAATTGTGAACGAAAAGCGAATGTCCGGCGCTTTAACCAGGTCGGTGGATATGGAGGATCCAACTAGGGGAGTTGAAAAACCCTGATTCCAAACCAATGGTGCACATGGGGTCCAGTATCCTGAAGAAACAAATGGCGTATGAACCGATTGTTGGTCACCGGCTACCATGGTATTGCATCTCCTTACGGTAACCTTAGTATAGAGTGGCTCGTAATAAACAGCGAAGCGGTCGTACAAGGCGCATAAAAGTACTACTAAATTTTCCTAGAAACAATAGTGATTTAATTGTAATATCCTAATTAGTAGAAAATTGAATTTCTGACATTTCTCGGCTTTGTCTAAGTTGATTCTTTCACGGAATCGGAAATTTCCAGCATAGGGTTGCAGAGATTGTTAAATTTCATTGAATTTATGAACCCGTCTAAGTTAGACCACCATTGGAAACCTGGAAGCACTGGACTGATAAGTCGTGTAGGTTGAACGCTATATACGAATCCTAAGCTATTCCCGTAACCCGCAAACTAGAACTACACAGCGACTTGAACTCCAGAAAGAAGACACAATTATGAGAGAAAACATTTTATCCCAAGGTTCATTTTAGTATAGAAAATCAAGGGTATTTATAGATGTTGGCGTCTGTTAAATCAACATCATATTTAAGCCAACCCGTTAACGTCATATGATGCTACCGACCAATGGTAGCACGCCAAGCTGGAATTCTCGAACGTTCCATCATACTCTGATTGGCTAGGGCCCTTCGGCTCCTTTCTGGGCCTCTGGAGGCTCCGTTGAATTTCTCCGGAAGCCAACCCAACGCCTCCCCCGAATAAGATTTCTTTCTGGGATCTACTTGTAGTTTGACGACTGGGTTGCGACGGCGTCCCATTATTCTTGTCGTCTTCCTTGTCCAAGGCTTCTTTTCAATGTTCCTGGGCGTTTGTGGCATTGGTGCGTCTAAGATTAAATCTAACGGGAAAATCGGCCGGTTACTTCGAGTTTGCACCGTTCTTTTGTCCTTAAGGATTTGATTTGTGTGACGTATACATGTCTCAAAAGCTCCTCGAACTCTGCACAGTACTCTTCCCAGTTTTTGCACAACTTCGCCCGGCTCCCATCGGTTCTTCCCGATGTAGGATTTAATGTAAACTTTGTCGCCAACACTGAAGTTTCGGATACTTGGATCGTGACTGCACTGATCCACTAATTTGGATGGCAGCATAGCATCGAAGACGGTTCGAATGCGCCCTCCAAACATGGCCTCCGCGGGAGATTTGCCGTCTGGAACATTCGGGTTCGGAGTGGATCTGTAGGATGTTAAAAATTTTGCGATCACCTGCCCGGTTGTCCCTTCTCCTCTCCCTTTCAGAAGTGCTCTTTTCGATGTATCCACGAAGCGCTCTGCCTGGCCATTCGATTGAGGGTGATACGGGGGAGATCGTATGTGCACAATGCCATTAACGTTGCAGAAGTGCTTGAATGATTCTGCAGTGAATTGTGAGCCGTTATCGGTCACTAAGGTCTGCGGAACTCCAAAGCAGCTAAACAGGTCGGATAATTTGCTGATTGTTTCACTGGCTGTGCAATTCACCGTGGCGTAGATTTGTGGCCATTTTGTGAGCGAGTCTACTATGACTAGATACATTCTTCCTCGTATTGGACCGGCGAAATCTGCATGCAGCCTCTCCCAGGGACTATTCGGCTTTTCCCATTGTTGCGGTTCACACTTACTTGGACTTTTGGCTGCTTGTAGGCACGATGAACAATTGCGGCATCTGTTTTCGATATCTTGATCCATCGTAGGCCAGTATGCGTAGCTTCGAGCCAATGCTTTCATCTTATTGATACCAGGATGACCGCTGTGGAATTGTTTCAGAACCTTGTAGCGTAATACTTTTGAAACAATAATTCTGTCACCAAACATAATACATGAGTCGACCATCATAAGTGAGTCCCGTCGGCGAAAGTATTGTAGCATTTCTCCTTGAAAACGATGGTTCGGCCACTTAGTGAGAAGATAACCACTAACCTCTCTTAAAGTCTTGTTATTTTCCGTGGCTTCTTTGATGGCCTTGAAAGTAACCGGTAAACCATCAACTGCGTCTTCCAAGACTCGATGTACTTCTGTTTCCGTCTCGATTGCTGCCACCAAAGTGTCTTCTTTCTGTTTTACTTGTGAACCAATCAGTCTAGATAAAGCGTCAGCTTGTCCAAAGTCAGTAGTGGGCTGGTACTTGATCTTGAAGTCATAACCCAAGAGTGTAGTTCCCTAACGTTGCAGTCTGTTTGCGGTGTATACAGGCATACCTTTCTTCGACCCAAAGATGGCTAGTAATGGTTTATGGTCAGTTAATAGGGTGAACTGAAGTCCAACCCGACCGTTGTTGCTACCTTGACGTGGTGGTCGGGCTTGCCTATCGTGATGAAGCAACCGAGCTATACTGGCTGGAACAACCGTTCCTCAAGGTCCTACCATGTCAGACAGGTCGGTTGAAGAGCGGTAAGACTAAAAGCAACAAACCCAAGGTCCGAAGGCGAAGTCGTACTGCTGACTGTACAGAGGTGTGACAGCAGTAAGGTGTTTCCTCCAGACAACCAGCATGACAGCGATGCTGCCTTCCCACAAGGAGGGGTGGGGTTAGAAAAGGTCGACCCTAAAAATGCACACCTCGCCTTATCCCACGGATATCCGTCTCCGGCGGTAAGGTCTCAATAAGTACGGAGCTAACACAAAAATTACCCATAACAAGGTCGTGTGTGACCGACCTCAAGCAGTTGTCCCTTGGGCACTGCGGTCACGCTCTCAGGTTACTAAGACCACCTCTAATCCAAATTCCTTTTCAGGTACCTCCAGAAGAACCCTTCCACGGTGTGGGCAACCAGGAAGTGAAAACCGCCCTCATACCTCTAACAGCACTCAAGACCACTGTATTCATAATCAACCTTCCTCTTCAATGCCTTAGAAATATTGCTCACATCTGCTGGGATCACCGGGTAAGTAATAGTGAGGTTAGACGCAGGGTATTAGGGAATGATGGTAAATCAGTTGATGAGGTTATGAATCTTCATCGACTGAGATGGTTGGGCCACGTATTACGTATGCCTGAACACCGATTACCACGACGTGCAATGCTAACCGGGGTAGGGGATGGTTGGGAGAAAGTTAGGGGCGGCCAAACCAAAACGTGGCATCAGTGCCTGAAGTCACTAACTTCTAGTCTGAGCCATGTTGGTAGATGCAGACTACTTGGTTGGGGTCCGCGTGACTATCGTAACCAATGGTTGGAGACTCTTGGTGACATGGCTCAGAATCGATCACAATGGCGTCGGTGTATACACTCCCTGTCTTCCCTTAAACTAAGAGACTAAAATCACTTCATTCTTTCTTTCTACGAATTAATTCTTTCTTCCTATACTATATCCTTATTGCAACCTTTGACCTAACCACTCCTATGAATCCGGTGTTCATCTTGCTGTGCTAATGAGGTATGGCAACCTGGACCGATGCACATATGTGCCTGGTCCTACGTCGTAGCTGACTTACTGACTGACTGACGTCCAAATATCATGTTAAATTTCTTGACAGCGAAGATAATCGACAATGCTTCCTTCTCGATCTGACTATAGTTACGTTCTGCTGACGTTAACGATCTAGCCGCATGTGATATCGCTTTCTCGGATCCATCTGGCATGATGTGAGAAATAACTGCTCCAATGCCGTAGTTTGATGCGTCTGATGCCACTACAATGGGTAAGGATGGATCGTAATGGGTGAGCAGCAGTTCCGAGACTAGTACTTTCTTGATTTCATCGAAAGCGGCTTGGCAAGTTGCAGACCAACTCCATTTTACATTCTTCACCAGAAGGTTATTCAGGGGGGCACGTAATTGATGAAGGTTTGGAATAAAAGCTCCATAATGGCTAACTAGTCCCAAGAAGGATCGTAGTGTGGGGACATCCGTCGGTCTGGGCATAGTTTTCACTGCCTGGGTATTCTCCGGATCTTGTCTTCTTCCATCTTTGTCGATTATAAACCCAAGTTAGCGTACTTTTTGCATACAGAAGTCACATTTCTCTGGACGAAGTCGAAGTCCATATTCGGCTATTCGCGTCAGCACCTGGTCAAGCTTCTTTTCTAAGTCTACTCTATCTACTCCCATAATTATTATATCATCTAGGTAAGCTGCAGCACCTGAAACATCTTGTAGAATAGTATCCATTATTTGCTGAAATATGGATGGGGCCGTCTTGACTCCGAAGGGTAATCGATTATACCGGAATAGACCCTTGTGTGTGTTTATAGTAAGCAGGTTTTTAGACTCGTCAGCATCAGGGATTTGTAAATAAGCTTCTGATAAATCCAACTTTGCAAAAAGCTTACCTCCGTTCAGTTTAGCAAAAAGATCTTCAGGTAAGGGTAATGGATACTGATGAGTTTCTAAGGCTTCATTCAACCCGGTTGAGTAATCAGCACATAAACGAACGCTACCATTAGTCTTCTTTACTACTACTATCGGTGCGGCCCATTCTGAAAAATTCACTGGTTCAATGACACCTAGTTTCTGAAGTCGTTCTAGTTCTTGTTCAACCACTGGTAGAGCAGCATATGGTACGGGTCTCCTAGGTCGAAAAACGGGAGTAGCTGCAGGCTTTAGAGTTAACAGTGCTTCGGCCTTCGTACATTTTCCCAATCCTTCTCTAAACACGTTTTGGTGTCTTTGTAGCATGGCGTTTTTCTGATTCCATTCTGGGGTGTTGTCTGTACTTACTCGTCTGCAGATACTGTTGATAGAATGATCTGCTAGTTTAAGTGTTTCTATAAGGTCCAACCCCATTAAGTCTAGTGCTGGCTTCTTAGTAAGATACAATGTTGTTGTTACCGTACATTTAGAAACAGTGCATGGCACTTCTCAAACAATATTCAACTTCCCCCCAAGATGCACTGTGTGCCAGCTGTGTTGTTGGGAAAACTGTGGGTCTCCCAATGTTCTTCCATGTTTCTGGGCTGATTAAAGTAATATCAGAAGCTGTGTCCAGCTGAAGGCGAGTACGGTGTTTATTAATATTCAAGGTCACATACTTTCTTTGGTGGCAACTTCGTGCTCTGTTATGTGATACCAATATCTTGTTGGTTGGAGCACTATATCTGTATTTCTTCGAGTAGGGCTTCAAAGAATGTCGTTTATGGGTTCTTTTTCTGCAGCAGTTTTCTTTATGTCCCTTTCGATGACAATTGCTACAACAATGTTCCTTATATGGGCAGAACCTTTTATAATGCCAACCCCCACAAGACCAACATGGAGATGAAGGCTGATTGCCTGTGTGCGATACCTTTCTTGAACAAGAACTGTTCTTCCTGCTTACAGCATGAACGTATGGCAACTGGCCATTATTTTCGACCATCGAAGTGTCATGCTTTAGGTTTACCAATCTCTGACAATCTGTGGTTACTTCTTGTAGTGTCATATTCGGACATTGTTCAATTTTACTCAAAATTCTGGTTCTAATATCGGCACAAGCCACTATTGCGAGCATACAGTCCCGACAGTATAGATCCATTGCCAGAAAAATATCGTTGTCTAGACATCGCTCCATGTCTCCCAAGCAGGAAACTGGTATCTGCTGGTATCACTCGCAATGGTGGATTATAGTGATGCTAATCGAGTTGTTAATTGCGTTAATTGTTGCTGGATGTCAAGGGGGGTGTTCGTAAAATCTTTACTAGAAGTTTGTATGGCGTTTATCCGCTGACTGTCAGGATAAATTTCCATCATTTTATCCGCCATATCAGCTAAATCATCTGGATTGACAGAGGTTCCTGATACGCTGAAGATTTGTCTGACATTGCTTGGTAACCGTTGGAACCACATTTGCTTAAGTAGTGTTTCGTCTAGTTTGTAGGGGCCGGCTAGCTGTTTAATGTGTCAGAGCAACTGCTAAGGTCTCTTGTCCCCTAACTCGCATGCTGTAAGCAGTTGCTGTAAACGTTTTTCGTCTGAAAGTGATGTGCACTGAATTACTACTGCTTTGATCTTGTCGTAAGGGTCGGTTTCAGGTACGTTATCGATCAATTTGCCAACTTCCGTTGCTATTTCAATAGGTAGGGCACCGACGACGTGGGCATATTTGGTAGCTTGAGAGCGCATACCTCTCGCTAAAAATAGTGCTTCTACTTGTGCGAACCAAATTCTAGGGTTGTTAACGCTGTATGTCGGTAGTCTTAACTCGGAAATAGTATCGATCGAGCTTAAAATATTATCGCCTGACTGTGATGAATTGAGAGGATTCGTTGGTGGGCTATCCATATCGATAAGTTTATTGGGAGAGTACATGGTACGAAAAACAAAATAGACCAGTGTATCAAGTAAAAAAAATGTAAACAGTATAACCTCTATAATGGATTCAAGGCTCATCAGGTAATTGTGGTTGACCAGACAATATACGAGCTTTAAAAATATTAACAATGTTACTTAAAATCAATAGTAATGTTAATGTATATAAGTTAATTGTTACAAATACAATAGAAAATAGGGACTTTACTTAAATTCACCAAATTGATGCGTGTTCGGATTTGGTCTGGTGCTGAAAGTTAGTTAGTTGTTCTTCTCTTCTTCACATGTAAGAGAAATGTGCTTTTGACTACTATTGAATTCTTCTAACAAGCGGTTTATGTCTTCACTTTTATCCCCTACGATTATTATGTCATCTACATATCGTTTATACAGACCCATCTTTCGAATTGAGTCTTCAACTAAATTTTCAACATATCCCATGAACACATCAGCCAGCAATCGTCCTAGAGGGCTACCCATAGCTACACCATCTATTTGTCTGAAGTGTTCACCTTCAAATGTGAATTTTACATTATCTGTACACAATAATAATAAATCTTTAAGAGTTTTAATAGGAAATGGCAGTGAAAGGTTATTCAAAGAAATATAGTCACACAAAATATCAATGGTTTTCCTAAGAGGTACATTTGTAACTAAAGTGTTAACATTAAAGGAGCACATTGTCTTTGTCTTTATATTTATATCCTTTAAGTAATTAATTAATTCAAATGAGTCAGTCAATGAATGCTTACATTATTGACTTCTGATAGGGTTTAATAATTTTGTAGGCCATTTTGCAAGGTTGTGTGTAGGCGACCGACACATCAATAGAATTGAACGTAGGGGGGTATTAGGCTTATGAATTTTCGGTAATCCATATGAATTAGGATATGCTGAACCCATAGGTTTTAATAAATTAAACTTATCTTTGTTTAACAATTTCACAAGATTCGAGTTTACTTTCTTCTCTAATTTACGTAATCCATCGAAGTCAACATCCGCCAACAATTTGCTTTTATCACCGAGAATGAATTCCATTTTATTTTGTACTTTAACACCTTCGTCCTTAGAGAATCAAAGTTGGTTTGAAGCCAAACTAGTGGATATAGCGCATCAGTTTCATTCTTCTGGACCAAAGTAGAGAAGCATATTAACTTCTCAGCACTTCGAATCATTAAAAGAATTGCGAAATAATGCTGATATTATTATACTTAAACCCGATAAAGAATCTGGTGTTGTTATTATGAATAACTCCGATTACAAAAAAAATTAAACCCTATCAGAAGTCAATAATGTAAGCATTCATTGACTGACTCATTTGAATTAATTAATTACTTAAAGGATATAAATATAAAGACAAAGACAATGTGCTCCTTTAATGTTAACACTTTAGTTACAAATGTACCTCTTAGGAAAACCATTGATATTTTGTGTGACTATATTTCTTTGAATAACCTTTCACTGCCATTTCCTATTAAAACTCTTAAAGATTTATTATTATTGTGTACAGATAATGTAAAATTCACATTTGAAGGTGAACACTTCAGACAAATAGATGGTGTAGCTATGGGTAGCCCTCTAGGACGATTGCTGGCTGATGTGTTCATGGGATATGTTGAAAATTTAGTTGAAGACTCAATTCGAAAGATGGGTCTGTATAAACGATATGTAGATGACATAATAATCGTAGGGGATAAAAGTGAAGACATAAACCGCTTGTTAGAAGAATTCAATAGTAGTCAAAAGCACATTTCTCTTACATGTGAAGAAGAGAAGAACAACTAACTTCCGTTTCTAGACATCCTGATTAGTAGGAGAGATAATGGTTCTATCCAACGTTCTATATATAGAAAACCAACATGGACAGGACAATAACTTAATTTCCATAGTCACTGCCCTATTCATTACAAACGCGGTTTAATAAAGAGCTTATTCAATAGAATCAATCGTATTTGTACTAGTGATACTATTGAAGTAGAGATGAAGCTCTTGACTGATGCGTTAATCAATAATGGTTATTCTTTGAAGTTCATAAACCGCTGGAACGGTTGCAATACGACTAGACCTATGATGCTTCTGGCACCCAAAAAGCGATTTTATATTACGTTACCATTCATAGGTGACACAAATAGTCTCATGTTGAAACAAAGACTTAAATTAGCTATCAATCGGACATTTTATGCAGCCCAACTTGTCACTATAGAGAAGACAAGGTCTATGCTTCCCCAAAAGCCCAAACAGCACGAAAGCGATTGTGTCTATCAGTTTACATGTATGAGACGTTATCAAATATCTCTCAGAAGTGAAGCGAGTGGTGGACCAGCTGTAACTTTTTTCATTTCCTTCATTTAAGTGTGTGCAATTTCTTTGATGAAAGAGTTTTCGCTGGTTGCAATTTTCTTATCTGAGTTGCTTGTCTGACTATTATTAATATTATTCGCTCTCATGCACTTATTTCTATTCATTTTTTGTTGTATACACCTTCCTTTATCTCTTCACAATCTTTTTTTTATTATGTGATGCATATATTATGGTATCTCTTGTACCAATGTTTATGCGTTTGAGTGCTACTCAACTGAGAACCAAACTAGTTATCATGTAAATACTATTTCTATCAGTCAGTACAAAGTAATCTATCGTTATTTATCCACTGAATTTACAATAGTCCTACTTGGAAAAGTTATTTTTTTTGTCACTGATCTTTACACCAAAATCCAAATTTCTTTTTAGTCTAATTTTTTGACATTCTAGAAATGATCATAAAACATCAGTGGTATGTAATATAAACTGTTAAGGTGTTTGTTGGCCACAGTAAGGAAAATCGATTATTTAATAATTGTTTGACGCGCCTAAATTATCCCAGAAATTCCAGTTATGATCATTTCCAATAATTAATGCTAACGATTTTTAGCTACTTGTGCTTCCCTGTAGTATATTTAGTACAATATTCATGCTTACAAAATAGATAGTGTATCTGATAATTTACTGATTACTGATTAAATGTAGCGAAAGGTCTGTTTGATAAAAATTCTACATTTTGTTATAGTGAATCAATTCAGCTATATCCATTTATACATAGGGAATGTAGTTGTGTCTATCCTACCACCGTGTGATCGTGTAATAGCAACTAGATGTTTAATGTGCTTTTTTCATAGGTTTCAATGTCTAATGTCTTACAGGTGAATTTAAATGGGTTTTTCTTCAGGTGGAAACAGAACAAATAGTACATGATAGCTCATATTCATTTCTTCGTCATGGACGCGTTTCATCTTATGTACAAATGCGTGGTTCTGTACCGTTATTCTGGTCACAGGAGTCTTCTAAAGTTGTTGTTGGCAGACCGCCTTTAGAAATTTTAGTAAGTTTATAACATTTTTAAACAGTGACACATCAACATGTTCTAGTGTTGTTACCTTTTATTGCTCATTTTGCTATGTCTCTATCCTTAACTTTGACACTGTGTGACTCTATTCCCTCAAGAGTGCTGACATGTTTTGCTGACGACTCCTAACTGGAGCATAACTTTCTGATGAATACTTCGAGTTATCCTCCATCAGGACGTGATTATAGTAATATCGAGTCACTTAAATTATTGACTACGTTGCTTCAATACGAGTTTAGTTAGTACATCATTTTTCGATATTTTCCAAGAGAGCACGTATAGGTCCCAAGAATATTTTTCTATCACTTTTTTTAACGTTAGGGCATAGTGATTCTTCATATTTCCCCCTTAGAAGCTATGCAATTGCAACCATTGTTGCACTATTAACGAAAGTAACTTAAACCTTCTTGGGAGATTTAACAAAACATTCAAAATAAACAAGATTTCAAAGTGTAGTACACAAAAGAGATCCTAAATAATAATAATAAGAGGAAATATCGATAAAATTAAAATAAGGACTAATAACTCAAATAGGATCAGAAAATGATTTGATAAGTGATGTTAAAACACCAGGATTTGTTACAGCATACAAATAATGGAAATGATGGAACATTAACTACTCTATATTAGTAAGTAGTATATCGTGGCACACAAAAGGGCCTTCAGATATATGAAACTGAACAAATCATAGCGTATATTTCAGTTTCATATTCAACGACTTAGTAAAGTAACTATATATTTTCAAAATCTTTTTTTCGAAATTCCACTGTCTTAAAAACTATGGACAGTACTGTATAGGAGAATATAGTTTGTATTATTTAGAATCACAGAATAGTTAATGATTAATTGTACTTTAGTTGGTGTATTTTTATTGGGATTTTAATTTGTTAATGATTGTAATTAATTTTCCGTATCTTCAGCGTGATGATCCATTCTATGAATCGATGGGTTTACATTTTTCTAGTTTACTTAAACGTCATGGATCTCCAGTTATTGTGCTTAATTTAATGAAAAAACGAGAGAAAAGACAATTTGAAACAATTTTATCTGATAGATTTGAACGTGGAATTACCTATTTAAGTCAAGTAAGCTAATAGTGTTACGTATTTATTGTAATTGAAATAAATTTTAGCAAATGGTGTAGTCTAATTTAGAGAAAGACATCTTCGAATTTCTCATTAATAGTTAAGACCCAATGCCGGTTTTGTATGTACATCATCTAGCGATTGTGAATGAAAGTGATTCACAAGGTAAACGTTATTTTTTGTTGATCATAATGTTTTCAACACATAACATTGTCAAATTCATTAATACATGCCTTATTTCTGGCCTATGTAAAATATTATAATTATGGACTTATAACTGTAGAGCCTGATGATGAAGTTATTGAAAACAATTGTTCGCTCAAATATTTTTCATTTTTGAATATTCTATGGGGATTTTTAAACTGCTGATCATACTGTTATCAAATCATTAAATAGTTAAATGTTCATATGAACTGTTTATGTAACTAGGATTGACAAAAGTCGATGATAGAAGAGATATTAAATGACACCAATAGTACATTTATTGTAAATCAAAGATATTAACATTATATTCCTGTTCACTATCAAGAATGTAGAACAATGAAAACTAATGTACTACTATTAGTATCAACCTGTCGCCTTATCTCATTAGATTTATTGTCTGTATCTTTATTCATTGTGATAGGTTAAGACTGATTTAGAAATCATCCTTTTAAGTTATTGGTTGAATTATTTTGACTGCTTACTCTGATGGAACACTACAGTTGTAGTGAACAAGAACACGGGTGGGGACAATCGACTGCATTTAGCACAAAGATTACAGACTATCTGAATAAAATATGAATACCATAAAGTCAATCGTCAATTTGCAAAATATCATTCCATCATATCAAACTGTACTGTTCCCGTTGCAAACACTAATCCATTGTCTCCCATTCCATTGTACATGTGTTTTCTTACAATTCCATTGTGCTCTTGCTCTTCCTTTCTTGATCTTCGCCATCTTCTGCTGCCGGACCTTACGTTTATTTAACGCACGTTATATACTACTTATATGAATATAAGTAGCTCACACCACACAGTGGCCATTAAATATATACACTATTTGATTACTACACCATTTCTACTTCTACTGTGTCTTGTATTATAATCAAAGAGGCATTGAACAACATACTTCAGAGTTTACAGTGCAAATTTCTATTTACTTGAGTTTACTGTCTTTTTTTTATAAAAAAATCAAACATTTCAGTCTCGGTTATCAGAATATTTCTTTGTTTTTGTTTTTGACTCATTGTTAGTCTCAAAATATGAACTTATTATAATTATAATTCTCTTGAATATTCTTCTGTTAGTTTTTACCTTCTAGAATTCCCCACCCATCTGATTCATTAAATACACTTTTTATCGAAACAATTGATAGTAGTCCACCTATTATGTACATTGGATTTGATATCGCTCGTGTACAAAAAATGAAACGTACTGTTGTTTTAAATAAATTACAACCTATTATAGACAATTGTGTACGTCGTACTGGAATATATTTCTCATCATCTGCTTCTTTACCTATCTCAGAAATTCAATTTGAAAAACATAGAACAATTGGTTTCAAGTAAGTTATTTGTTTAAAGAAAAGAATGGATAGAACAATGAAATATTTCTATCCAATTAGTTTTTCATTTTGACTCTACAACGATATGTATGTTTAACAGCTTTGATAAAATCAATGTTAATTAATTAGAAATGTATCAAGTAGTAGTAATACAATAATATTGGTAATACTGTATTGTACGAGAACACCAGTGGAGACAACCAAATGTACTTGAATATTAAATTACAAAATCTCTTAGTAATACTTCATTTGAGAAGTGTCCATCAATTGTCGCAGACTTTGTTGTTCCTTCGTTTTCATACCAATCTATCTCTGTTCCCATTCTCTTCTTTCCGATTTTCTCAACTTTCAGCCTCCAGTTATTCCACTTTCTATTGATGATACATACTACTTATATCTGTCGATATCAGTAGCACACATCACAATACTCTTATCTAATACAGTAGTATTTCATTGGTCTCGATTTTATTATTATTATTATTAAACACATGTATTAGTGGAGAGCCAATATGACAGACTAGTTGTAAAGAAATATTCGGGTTCTATTCATTTTTTTCTGTGTCTAAATGGATTTTTTTTCTTCAAGAGAGTTAATAAAATTCTGCTTTACCAAAATTTATATGATTTACCATGCAGCGTATTTTATCTCACATGGAACAATCAGTCTTAAGTGCCAATTTTTCTTGTTGTTCAAAGGAATTATTGCAACTTCACATTAAAGAATATAAAAGAGAATGCGACAATCAATACAACTAAGTAATCATATACTTGTTTATAAACTAAATTGCAGACTGCCTAAGCTTTGTAAAGGGAACTAAATCGAATAAGAATGAGGTTTCTATCATAATAGTTTTCCCAATGTTTACAACTCATAACTCTGACATGCTATTTAGTACTCTGATGTTCTAATTGGTGTCCTCTTTTCATAACTCTAGTCTAAACTCAAGTACCACATATTACAGTCAGCTATAAATGACACAAAAAATGTGTTCTATATACTAGTCTGTTTTGGGACATCTGCCCAAATTCTAATTATAATTTTATATATGCGTAACTAGTATTAATTTCTATAGTATAACAAACTTATCCCAAACCGTTTGATGTAGGTGAATTAATAGCACTTCAGTTTGTCAGTCAAATGAAAATTAGAACCTGAAACATATGTACATCGGTCGACGTTGACATGTGCTATTAGCACAGAGATGAAATAGTCAGGGCAAACATCAAGGTAGTAGAAGTAATAACATGACTAGTAATAATAGAAACGATTAAACATTGAGGATACGACCCTATAAAATGTGTAATTTAATGAAACCAAAACAAACAAAATTATGAAAAGTTTAGAAATTTACGATTTAAAAAGATACAAATAGTGAGTGTATCTGCTCCGTTGTCAGCGGTTCCTAGCCATACCACCCAGTCTCTAACAACTAGTTACGATATTCACGCGGACCCGAACCAAGTAGTCTGCACCTAACTACATGACCTAGTTCAATAGTCAGTGTCTTAATAGACTGATGCTTTGGTTTGGCCACTGGTAACTTTCTTCTGACCTGCTCTTATACCGGCCATCATTGCACGTCAAAGTAGTTGGTGAATGAGAACACGTAATACATATTCTAACCATTCCAGATAGTAACGGTTCACAACCTTGTCAGTCGATTTGCTATACCTGTACTCTGCGTTTAGCCTCAAAATCTCTAACTTGATGGTCCTGAAATATATGAGCAATGGTTCGAAGCAACGTATGATAAAATACTAGTAACCTAAGAATATCTATTTTTAAAGTTCACGTTTCTCAAATATAAAGTAGAATAGAGCGAACTGCTGCTCATTAAACCCATCGTTTAGTTGACGGACGGATATTGAGTGACAACACCTAGTATTGGGATCAAATACCAAACTATGTAAGGTTTCATGTTAATTGCCACTAACAGAATCATGTAGATACACACTGGTTACAGTTTTAAAAAGGGAACAGAGTTTAAGCTGATTATGTTATTAAGAACAACTCTGTTGTCGAACAGTTTTGCTAATAAATCATCTGATTTATGGACATTTAAATTGATTCAAACAGTATTAGAATGGATATTGCCATTGGATCCTCTCATTAAATATTTCATTCTGATGCTTACACTTGTTTTTATCAGCTAAGTAATCCTGATGTGTTTGAGGAATTCGACAAACCTTGTTGTATGGTCTTCGCGTATCACTTCTAAAAATGTTGTATTTCGTCAATTTTGTAAATGTGGGTCTCAAACATGATTTTCTGGGGTTCTCTTTAAAACTAAATGCATTAGTTATGAAAATTTCATCACCATGTCAAACAAGTATGATAATAATTGAGCAGTCTTTTACGACCTTTCGTGTGACCTCATTTTGAAACTTGCAGTTATTTATTGTTAATGTTATTTAACAAGTTGGTTGTCAGTTAACTACTAGCTACCACAACCTGATCCCATTTTAGATTCACTAATATCATTGGCTGAGTACTGTTACTACTACTGATGCACTTCATCAGGTTTCATGTTTCTCAACTAATAATCTTATGTTTTGCTATTTTCTTCCAGCTCTAAGCAATGTGGAATAATCCGAGTAAATTGTGTGGACTGTTTAGACCGAACTAACACTGCACAGTTTGTTATCGGTCGAGTTGTTTTAGCTTATCAATTGTATGGATTAGGCTTTTTAGCTGAGCCAGATTTTATGGATAACTCACAAATCGATCGACTACTACAGGTAACTTGCTATTTATTACTTCTCTTTTGTAAATAATAGTTAATTGTTGTAAATTCTTTCTATTGGTATCAATGAGATTGCTTATCCGTTTTGCTAAATCCTTCGCTGATAGTGCCGCTCATTTCATAAACTTAAGCATTTCAAGATTTCCATTTGTAATTATCATTGAACAGTGCAACCATGTTGGAAAATATATTGACCCTGGTGTATAATAGGTATTTATTAGGCGTCAGTCTACTACAAATATGTCTCATCGTTTTCCCATATTTTTACTGGTCGGGATTCATTGATCATGATACTGTTTCTAGAGGGAGAAAGTATGTTCACAATTCTGTTATTACTCTCTTACCCTGATGTATTTTATGAAAAAATTAACTGAGTAGATTCATCACTTTAACTAAGTTTCTAACAGTTTGATAACTTAAAACTACCACTAGTTCTTGAATATTGCCATAAGTAACTCAGAGGTTGGGACCATATTGATTATATATATCCTAATACTGACAATTTTGAGTGCCTAAATCTCTTTGTATAACTCAGGAAACTAATACTACCCTTCCAAAAGACGTTTTCTGAAATTCACCTTTGGCACCGAACAATGCTAAAGTTTCAAACTAGTACGAAACAGTTGGTCCATTTCCTCGTGCTTTCCCATTGTTCTACAGCTGAATTCAGTCTACCATGAAAGCTCTTTTTAAAGCGAACTTATCTTCATATATCATTCAACTAGATTAAGTAATTCAAATATTTCGAAACTGTAGTTTATACTTTTGTTAAATATTGTATTGCAACAATAAAATGGTAAAAGCCTAATTCTTTTCAAGCATCGATATAGTTTTCTATAACCATGAGATCTCATGGTGTAAAAATAGTCATTTATTTTAGTTTTTAACTTACTCGAATAAAAGGTAATATGTTTCCTATTCGTAGTTTTTACTTCGAACAATATTAAACGATAGAAATGATGTGTAATAAGGATTTCATAACTATCCATTACACTCTATCATGTCTATGAATTTCTTCTAGAATATTTATTTTGAATAGTATTCTCAGTTAAGTATAAAAGCAATGGTCAGATCTACTAACCAACTGAATAATCTTGATCTTACTTGTAAACTTAAATGTACGCTGGTGTTTGAGATTTAACAAAGGTTCTTAATTATCCGGTCGTGATTTAGTAGCACCCGATAATTTTTGTTTGTTTTGTGGGTAAATGAGAAAAAAAAGTGTCACGTACGTCACAACACCATGGTCAGCTAACATCATCCTTAAAAATCGATATTGGTCATTTAAATACTGTTACGATGAAAAAATAAGCACTTTTATCGATCTTAAACTGCAAACTAGTTTTTAGATAATCAGGTTGTTAAGACTAAAATCTAGAATAGCTCTTAATTGTGTAATACTCTGTCGTTCAAATAACCGAAAGGAGATCAAGTAACCGGATAAAGACGCAAACAGAGTGTATTATATCAAACACACAGGGATAGAGGAATGTACATTACAGCATACATAAATTTTCGTCTGGGTTCATTAACCTATCTCGACTCATTTTCGCTGGATACGCCAAATTTATTCACCTTTAATCCTGATGTAGATGATGATGAACAATAATTAAGTACTATAGTTCTGCTCTCTTGATTTGTCTTCCCTGATTATTTTCTGCTACTTTTGAACTATTAACTCAAATGATTCGAATTTTGCATTGATTTGATTAATCAGTTTGAGTTGGCAAAATTAAATGGTTTATGTTAATCGTGGTGATAAATTTCTGTCATTTAATTTAACTTCTTTCGGCACATATATGAGTTGTTGTCACTTGTTGGGCCATAGAGTTTCACTTGTCAAAAACTCAGTATGAAAGGCGGATAACAAGTAGTTAGTTCTGAGTCTTCTTTTGTGTCTATAAATTTACGATTTATAAAACCTTGGAAAATGAATGATGTCAGATGTAGAATATTATTAAGTAATCTGATAGCCTTAATCAAACTATCTCAAATTCTTCTGTTTGTTAAAATGAACAGATTGTATTCAAGTATCGTAGCATCATATAAATATTCTAAGATTTCTAGAATCCTTTTTTTGTGATTCCTTGAACGTTTTCCACCAGCTTACAATCTTTTATCAAACAAAAACTAGCTGCTTGTATACTTCAGTACAGTTCAGATTTTAGCAAACAGTCATGCTAATCTTTTTTACCCCATGCACACACACATACTGATCATTTGTACAAATTATTATTTGGATTTAAAAAAAATTAATAGGATTTATATGATGAACATGGAGATACACTGGCCTTACAATATGGCGGTAGTCAATTAGTGCACAATATAAATACTTATCGTAAAGTAAAAAAGCTCTCTAGTCACTCGCGTGATTTTGTTCAAACACTGTCACGGTAAGTTTATAGATAAATTACATTTTCTTTATGCAGTGTCATCTGTACTTTATTCACAACTATGTTACATTCCTGTTGTAATGTGGGTAGTTAATACATTTATTTGGAGAGCTGTTGAAAATTTTTAAAACTAGAATCATCTCATTTTTGTTCGTATTAAGTGATAAAATAGAGGTACCAATACTGTTGATTTATATTCTCACCAACTACATAGATTTGTCCATTTTTAGGCACCTAATTCGGTTGTAAATAAAATAGCTTCTTGAAATAGTGAGGTTTACAGAGATTGATTTTATAGTTAACCTTCAAACCAGTGGGTCACCATCCAATGGTTTATAGTTTTAGTTTCAAATAATTAGTGCTGGATGAGAAATCTAAAGGTATTGGGTTCAAATCCGAGTGGGTTAGTGGATGTGCACTTCCTAAGAGTCCTATACTAAGACAAAAAAGCTGTCCAGTACTTCTTATTTCTTAATGGTTGTTTAACTAAGGTCAGTTTTTGATGTAAACTGTAAAAATGGGTTCTTTTAAACGATTAGATCAGATTGAAGTAATTCACTAGGTTTCAGATTCTAGACTATTATTCAGTTATTTCATAAAATTCAGTGAATAACCGTGATTAACGGTGTAAAGAATATTTTATGCACACCTATCGTCCCGATAGGTATTCAATAATAGTGCGGCAGTATTTTTTTCATTTATTTCATACATATCAAAATAGTTAGGAATATATAATATAACCATATTTATAAGTTAGTTTTTGATTTCTCAATCTAACTGATATCTTTTTACTTTTCAGAAGCAATTTTTTTAATTATTTAGGCATCATGTAGTATTCTTACCTAATTGCTCTCGTTGTTTATTGTTACTTTATTGTATATTGTGGTCTGATATTTTAGGCTCATTAATGATAACTTCATTAGATCTATTGACTTTTGTAAGTTAGTAACAAAGTGAGGAAGACCCATAAGTCATCATTTGTGTTAATCCTAGTCCGGCATGGGACTGAAACATGTCCTTCACATAAATTATAACTAAATCATCATAATAAATTGCTTGTTTTCTTATTCTAGGATAAAATTTGCATTTCAGTAATGACCCCATTTCTGTCAAATACTGACCTCAATATATTTGTATTGGTATTATTTGCTAGTTGTGAAACAATACGTAACTGGATACACTGTAAACTCTACTTTATGTGCCCAGATTTCAGGCAGGCTGGTTTTTGTTCTAGTCAAGGATGTATTGATCACATCTTCACCCTCCGCCAAATGTTAGAACACTGTCATACTTATCACAGGCCAACAATCGTAGTGTTTCTTGACATCACGGCTGCCTTCGATTCGTTGGATAGGACTGTTCTCTGGGATTGTCTATTGAAGAAGGGTGTGCCTGAGAAGTTCATCAACATCTTAAAGGCCCTATATACAAACACCTCAGGCAGAGTGAGGGCATACAACCACCTTTCTCCATTGTCCTATTCGAGCAGTGGGGTTAGACAGGGTTGCCCAATCTCACCATTCCTCTTCAACTTTGCCATCGATGACATTCTGGAAACAGCTCTGATGAATGTAAGTAATGGTGGTGTGGATCTGTTGTCTGGAGAAAGACTTCTCGACCTTGAGTATGCGGACGATATTGTCTTACTGTGCGATAATGCCCAAGGCATGCAATCCGCACTTAATCAGTTGGCAATCAATGTCCGTAGGTATGGGTATGTGCTTTGCACCTTCGAAGTGCAAAGTACTTCTACAAGACTTGCAGGATCCTAATCGTGTACTCAGCCTGGATGGTGAGCAGATAGACGTAGTCGAGAAGTTCGTGTATCTGGGTAGCTGCATAAGTGCTGGTGGTTGTGTGAGTGATGAGATCAATGCACGTATAGTGAAAGCCAGAGCGGCTTATGCCAATCTGGGCCACCTTTGGCGCCTTCGTGATGTTAGTCTGGCTGTAAAAGGCCGGATCTACAACGCGTCGGTGAGAGCAGTTTTGCTCTATGCTTGTGAAACCTGGCCTCTCCGAGTTGTTGACGTTAGACGACTCTCTGTGTTCGATCATCGCTGTCTCCGAAGGATTGCTGACATCCAGTGGCAACACCATGTCAGTAATGCAGAGGTTCGACATCGTGTGTTCGGGCACAGAGATGATAACTCAATTGGTGTCACCATCTTGAAACACCGACTTCGGTGGCTTGGACATGTTCTCCGAATGTCGTCCCAGAGAATTCCACGTCGTGCATTATTTGCCGACTCTGGGACTGGTTGGAAGAAGCGGAGAGGTGGTCAGTGCATGACATGGTGTCGTGGCATGAAAGAAAGCTGCAAACAAACTGGCTTGTGTTGGTCCTTCCCGACTCCCTGGTTGGGGTCTGAGAGCTGGTGCTACACAGTGGCTAGAGACGTTATCAGATATGGCTCAGAATAGAAGCCAGTGGCGATCCTTCTGTAATGTTCTTTTACTTTCTTCGTAAAAGTGGTTGTTTGTTCTTTAACTGGAAGAATCCTTCTGGTTGTACCTTTCCGTTTTCCCCAGTATTATTATTACTATTATTATTATTATTATTATTATTATTATTATTATTATTATTACACTACCTTACACTAATCTGGTCGTTATTGTTCTATTTTTTACACTTCTTACCTTCTTTTTTCTCTCTTCCTATTTTCATTGTTTTGTGTGTTGCATATATATTTGGTGCCCTCTTGTACCAATATTTATATGTTCAAATAAATAAATATAATATTTATTCTTATCTGCCTATCAAGTATCTATTATGGTTTTTACCTTTTGACTTTTTCAGATATTATTCTAATAAATTTTCTGATTGGGAAAAACAGTGTGCAATAAGTTTATTTTTACGCATTTATCGTCCTAATTTATGGTCTGGTACACTATATGATTTTATAAAAAATCATCTAATTCCAAGGTATTCAATAGATGAGACTGATACATTCAAATCAGACATACCATCTCTCTTTCATTCAGACACAGATCAAATTCTAGCCAGTGTCGCTGCTTCACTGTCTGGTTGTATCTGGGATATGTGTAGTGATGCTTATTTACATTGGTTGGACGCTTGGGCACGTTTACCAACAAGTCGCTTTTCACTAACTGATTGGTGCTCTCGTGATCTCTTACAATGTTTACCCAGAGCAATGGATATAACACAAAAGTCGGTTCTTTATAATGATCGATGCCTTGTGTTACCATCAAATGATATCAGGTGAGTGGTGTTTGAAGTGGTAAAATGAAATTTATTGTTTGAAATTAGTTTTTCAAAAAATTCTGGGAATCGATAAATCGTTGGATAATCAATTCTCCCTAGTTTAGGATATCCCAAAAGTACTTACTTTTCGTTGCTCCTTGACCCAATGAATCTTTACAGGGTTCCCTAATATCAGTTTAAACCATATAAATAAATTGATCATATTGAATAATAACCCTTAGAAAGTACAGCTTTCTATACGTCTGGAGAGTTTCGGTTCCTAGTGCCAAACTATTTCTCTAAAACGAGTATTCGCTAGCCCACTTATATATAAGAAATGAAGTGGTTAAGTGCCCAAACCACTTTATTTACATGTAGTGCTCTCTCCTTTTCGCTAGCAATCAATCCAACTACTATATTTTAACCATAAATTTAATAGGGATAAGGTTGAATATGGGTGGGGTCACGGTACTAAACTCGCTTTGATGATTAAGACTGATGTAATGCATACTATTCTACCTATCTTGACATCCTATTTCGTTTGCAGTAAGAGTATGTGAAGTCAGTAACTGAAATATTTGCAAATATATAGCCATCCTAGTAGGGATTATTGATATAAGAAACCATTGACAGGAAACTCTGAATGAATTAACGTGACAGGTGTAATAATAGTGAATATGTGTTTGTATTTTTACTTCGTAATTCTATACATTATTCATTTTCGACTAAAAAATTCCATTTATTTGTTTCATTTGGGCTGTTATGAATAGTGGTAAGTTGAAGTATTTTAACGTTGTCTGATCATTAATATCAAATTCGTATGCCTAATATGTCGTAACAAATGCTGGCTTATCCAATTGATCTCAAAGCTCTACTGTGTTTGATGTGTAAGCTGAATCAAAGCAAAACGTACACATGATTTTGACTAAGACCTGAACAATATAAAAACTTATTTACTCCCCCCTTTGTTTGCCAAATAATATTCAGCAAGTAGGAGTAATGTTTTTCAAAAATCCACTGTAATTCAAATGTCTTTTATTTTTTATCTTATAGAGTTGATTGGTTCAATGAATTTTATGATTTAACATCTTATGTCGATTTGGATCGTTTCTCAAATCCCCATATCCGGTCAACTGAACTTGTTGTTGAACATCATTTAGGCGATTATATGATTCCGAAGTCATATCCAAGTAAATACTTCGTCTTTTCTCTCTCTATTTCTATTACCATAAATGCCATATTAAGTATTTTATACTCTTCTTGGTAAGAGTTTGAATTGTCCTGTTGTCCGTTGCTAGACACAGTCCATCCATTCTAGAAAAAACTTGTGACAATATAGCCATATCGAGGCAATACTCACCTATTGTCCACTAAGACTGGTCAGCAATGGGATAATTAAAACTCCTACCAGTACTGATCTGTTAATCATACACGTTGAAAAAACGGGATATTTGAACCTATTTATTTATTTATTTATTTATTAATTATTACTATTATTATTATTAATGGCTTTATTCAATATGATATTTTGGTAAAATATAGAGTTCTCAGCAAAAAGTATTTCAACAAATTTCCTTTCCTTATTTCTTGATCGATTCGGACATTAAATATTAGTAGCTCAGTGGATGACACGTTAGCTTTTGGAGTAAATAGTACTGGATTCGATTCCCGACAACATCAACGTTAGAATCCAGGTACATCAGTTTGATTAACACCAATAGGACTGAATATACGTCATGGATTCCACTGTTAACCGCAAACCGTCTATTTTAAAAATGTTTTATAGCTTATAATATGTACATATTTTAACAGCTTCATTGATCATTGTTAGATATACTATGCGAAACAAATTCAATTGATTATTCATTTAACAGAGAGGACTTTCTTTACACCTCACATTCCAGTTAAAGTACTATTGAAGGCTAGTAAGCATTAGATAATTTATCCAGTTTAGGAAAGCCTATGTGTGTGTGTGTCAGTAAATATGTAACGGTTTACTTTTAATTCAGTTTTGTAAAATCGACTGTTCTCAGTGAGTTTTTTTAGTGTAGCGCTTAGTTTTTATGTACGACATATCACGCACACAGAATAGTGCAGTCTTCCATATTATCAAATCTAACTCATTTGCAAAGTATGGCTTTGTGTAATTCACTTCCTGCAACAGCGTCTGTGTGAGAGTCGGTACTACTAGCCGGTTACCCGGAGCAGAAATAGATAAAATGATATTTGAACCTGTAACTTGTCTTAATTTACTTGTAAGAGTTTTAAGGGAAGGGCATCGGTTTTTAGTCCTGGAGTGGACGTCAATATTGAGATCCAGCTGACTAGTCCTACGTACGATGAAACGTGCGTCCCGGATTCTAATACTAACCACCACCGATCTCTGCCTACAAGTGTCTGCAACCTATTAGTCGAAAACCGAATTCTCAACCCACTACTAGTCCATCACTCCATTATTTATTTTCTTAAAGATACAAAGAGCATGCTATACGTACCTAAATCGTGCTTGAATTCGCTTTTATTTTACTCATATTTCTTGTGTGACCCCTTACTCCTATGAGTTATCATAGTTATTTTCGTAACAGTAGATCGATTAGCGTTGTTTTGAACAATTTATAGTCATATGAGTGTTCATAGTGCTGTTACATTCATGGGTTATGCTAAGATTTCGCAACCCTGACTTCAATATGACTAACGAGACTACTTTTATCCTCTTCTTTCCTGTCTCACAAATAAATGTCAATTACTAAAGATTAGAATTGCTGAATTGAGTATTTGTCGCTATACAAAAATCATAGTAAAAATATTTTAAAGGTTCATAAGTAGAGTCTATATTGAATAATTCAACGTAACAGCAATTCATCTTAATCGATATTGATTTTCTTTCTCATAAATTGTATTTAGCGATTGCACGCCCCCACATGCCCTGGTACGACCGAGGGTGGGAAAAGTTAGCTTTCCCTCTCGAAATGCTCTCACACGGCCACACGTATACAGCCATTCTCACGGCGGGGTGTTGTTTACGAAATTGTGAACGAAAAGCGAATGTCCGGCGCTTTAACCGGGTCGGTAGATATGGAGGATCCAACTAGGGGAGTTGAAAAAACCTGATTCCAGACCAATGGTGCACATGGGCTCCAGTATCCTGAAGGAGCAAATGGCGTATGAACCAATCGTTGGTCACCGGCTAGCATGGGATTGCATCTCCTTACGATGCTCCACTGCCTTAAGGATCAAACCTTTAGGTCGAAGGTTCTGGGTGTGGCCTCTTGAGAAACTCACCTGCTTTTGTTTGGGTATCGAGTGGTATCACAGTCCACACACAAATCAAATCAAATTTGTGTGGCGCATATATATTTGGTGCCTCGTTGTATCAATATTTATGTGTTCAAATGAATAATATAAATAAAAACGTTCCCACCAAGCCCTTTAGGTTATTTTTCATAGTATCGCATTTGACTACCCACTTCGAGAGTAAGGCAATTACTCCCTGATAATGTTAAATGATGGTCAACCTATGTCACAGTTTAACTGAAGTTGTTCATTTGGATAATCTGATATCATTTCATTAGTTCAATATTACTCCTTTATCGTGGAGACCCTCTTGGCTCTAGGCTTATTGCTGCTCCCCGATAAGGGGTCCCCACGCTTTTTCAGCTAATATCAGCCCGTGACGAAAATTACCTTTAAAATGTTTGAGTAATGTAATAGAGCCGAAGAAAATAGGACTCAGAACATAATTGGCTGTTTCGGTCTTTAAAGGCCCTAGACTCTCTCTCTCTCTTTACCTTTCTGTGGTTATTGTGTTAAATGATTTACACTAAACAGTATTATGAGATATTTAAACTGTTACTTTAATTTATTTTTAATACAACATCTCTATTATCTTTTTCAATTCAAAAACATAAATTTACACATTTTTCTCAACTTTTTTATTTCAAGATTTAAAGACCAATGAACAATTACATTCGCAACATAGCAACAATATTAATATAAAATACACGTCTGTTCCTGAAAAAGATCAACTTACTAACTGTAGTTATCCTACATTATCAAATATTTACATGGATTTAGGTCGTTCAATATGTGCCGCGCATTCATTTCCTAATTTTACTGATATACCACATTTCGATTGGTCTACTAAACAAAATAATCTTTCGTCTAAATATTACAAAGATGGCAACAATTCAAATGAAGCATTAAATCCTTCAATTAGTAATGTTGAATTAAACAAAACAAAAAAGTTTAAAAAAGTAAAAGACAAATGTCCAGTAAATAATAATTTCGATGATGAAAAAGACAAAAAACAAAAATCTGCTGTTTTTGCTGAGGATGACGGTGATAATGGTGAAGACAAATCTAGTTCAGATAGGTACCATGAATGCTACTACTCACATTTATTTGTTGGTATAATTTCTTTACACTCTATAATTAATGTTCTGGTGTTGAAATGATCCTATTTAGTCACTCGTAATGTTCTTGACTATGACTTTGTAGTCTGCTACAGGTACAAAAGTGTAACTAAAAGCTAAGTATACGAGACCTTGCGTAGCGATCCTGTTGTATTTTTTAAAATCGAATCTTGTGATATTATAAAACAGGCGTTAGTAAATGAACTTTTAACTGTTAAAATGAAAGGAACGAATGCAAAATTAGATCATATCTAATAAAATAATGTGGCTGATTTTTGTTTTCTCACCAAACCAAATTATTGGCATAACCCCCAGCGTACCCCATAGCTGAACTGATATCAGAAGACAAATTAGGTGTCCAGTAGAAAAAATTTTTTTAATGTAATAAAATAACATACGTGTATATATAACATAATGACAAAACAATAGACATAATCGAATGTCTTAGGTGACTGAACTCAATCATTTTTATGCATCTTTTTTTCTAGTCAATTCAGACGCTGACTATCATATCAAAAGATTATTTTTAAGTAAACTTTACACCGAACCCCATAACTAGATTATAATCAATCCTAAAAGATAACAAACCGGCGTTTAAAGATGTACAGTTGTTGTCATTCCCGAGCTTTTGAGAAAAGACTTTGCTGTATTGCTGAGAGTGATGAAGGCAGTTAGCAAGATGTGTGGTGAATCTTTCGAAGTCATAATTAATATGGTTGTGGATACACATTTGAAATCATGCAAACTCCTTGCAGGTGTTATTTTATCAGATACTAACCATCCCCTTCACTCTTATCTTTCTCCTTGCATATCTCCTGGTAGAACGAGACGTAATTACATTAAAAACTAGGCACGCAAGCAAAAGTATGAAAGTTCTATAATACCTTACCTAGTAAATATACTCTGTGACGAACAAGCTGTTAGAGTTAACCTAGACAATAACCTGGATTCTTAACATGTCTCTAATTTGTAAAGTTGTACAGTTCCTCGGTTTTTTAAAACATTTTTATTCCTTTTCTTGTCTTTGTTACTGTTTTTTGTGTGTAAGAAACTTGTTGAGATACCCTGTGCTGAGAATTCTATATTGTACCAAAATATAATATTGAGTAAAGCCATTAATAATAATAATTTATTTTTAAAAAAGTAATCTCACCAGTTAGTTTCAAACTCAAATTTTCTGATTGTAATTTGTGGAACTTTTCTTGCTGTTTCTAAGAATATTATGATCACTATCTACTTTAAAGTTTGAATTATTGATACAATTACAAGGCATCTAATTGGTTTGATTACCCGATACCTCTTCCGTTTTCAGACAGTTTTAGTATCTAGTGTTAATTAATGAAATATCTGTTAATAAGTATTTCTAATTTATAATAACTGTATGAGATTTTCTTATGTGATAGAGCGAGTGTAATAAATAATACATCACGATCAAGGTCACTAGTTAGCCTCATGAAACCTAAATATCACATCAGGCTTTAAATAGAGAATGTCAAAAAAATCTACTTATTTACTTTTCAATCAGTTGAGTATACCTGTGTGTACAGTTTTTCCTCGGTTTTCGCCTCTTTTACTCATAGATCCTAGTTTTCGAATTTCGGATAAGATAGTTTGATGTTAGTTACTAATTACTGATTGATTAATGCAGATAATTAAATAGACAAACAGATATAATATAGAACTCTGTGAAAATATCCACTTGCCCTTGAAACAACACACTTCATATGTCAGTATAACTAGAAAAAAATTACAAGATGAACAGTAAATCTGTCGAAACAATGTCAATATCATTGGTAGCGAAAAAACGAAGGATAGTTTAAAAAGAACGAACAAAATTTCTGAAAGAAAAACAAATCAATGAAATGTCTATTATTTAAGTCTAATATATTCTTGTTCAATCCTAATTAGCCGTCAATTTTAACAATGATTCAATGTGAGCATAATTATAACTGCACAAAACAATTGTTCATTTCTCCATAGATTTCAATAAACGTTTTGTTATTTGACACTAAGTGGGCGTAGCATACAATTTGGAAATGTGCTAACACCTTTACCGTTTATGAATTTGAATTAAAATCACATGATTTATAATGAATTGAATTATTTAGTTATTCTTCATTGTACGAGTGAGAATATTTAAAAAATACACTTTTTAAGCTATTACATACCGTCATTTTGAGTTAATTAGTTATATCACATTGAAATCATGAGTCAATTTAAGCTAGACCACCATGTAAAACCTGGAAGCACTGGACGGCCGTTTCGTCTTAGTATGGGACTCCTGGAGTTATAGTGAGAAGCCGTCACCAGTGGAGTTCAACCAGGTCTGTTGTGAGATATAAACTCACTAAAGACAATGATATACGGTGGCGCAACTTCGTGGATTGGTTGAAGTTAGACATTAACACCATTTGATGCCGTCTCAGTAGTCTAGTCGGTTAGGCGCTTGGCGCGAGACTGATAGGTCCTGGGTTCGAGTCTCGCGGGGTGCAGGATCATGGATGCGCGTCTCTGATGAGTCCCATACTTGGAATAAACGGCCGTCCAGTGCTTCCAGGTTTTCCATGGTGGTCTAGTTTCAACTGACTCATGATTTCAATCTGTGAAATTTCTAAAATCTCCACAAACCGCTTCTGATAATTAGTTATAAATTTTTTACTCTGCCCAACATGTAAAGTTGAATGGTGTACTAATAACTGCGGAATAGAAATTAAAAGTTGTATTATTACATCACTAATACTGACGTAACACATTTATTAAGTACACTTTTAGGTATTTGGCTTTGGACTACACTTTATATGTAAGGGTAACAGATAGCGCTTGAGTTAGAAATCAACTTTTTAAGTGATTGATCACTAATGCGAAAATTCTTGTTATCTATATTTCGATTTTATACTGCTACGTAGTTGGAATGACTTGATTAAGCCATTAGACACAATTTATTTAATCACTTGTTCGTCATAATTTTAGGTTACCTAAAGTTACATATAAAAAGAGTAGTATTTTAGATAAATGCTGATTTAGCTTTTATCTTCTGATGTCTTACAGACCACTAAAGTATAGAGTTCTCGGGTTAGACATTATATGTTATCGTTCCATCTATTTTCCGTACATATATGTTCCTGTTATCGTATGAATCCCCTCAGTTATATCAAGGAACAAGAATAACTCCGCACTGATCAAAATAGAATAGGTTAGACAGAATCCGAACCTTCTATTAAATGGTTAGTACTTCAATATTTCAATCAATAGCGCACTATGTGTATTCAAAATATGACTAACTAATTGTAAATGACTATTGCATAGCATGAAGTTTTACATTATCATTTTTTTCTCCTTTTAGCGATTATGAGGAGTCGATAGATAATTGTATTAATTTCTTTCCGCCCGATTTGAACCTATTTCAATTTCTTCTTGATCCGGACTTATCAGTAATACAATCTAAACGTCTACCTGACAAATATTTTGATAATAAAGGATATTCTGTAAGTTACCCGTATACTTCAAATTCTACAAAACGTCAAAAGCGAAAACAAACAATAGTTGGCCAACTTAGTAAATCCAAAGAAGATCCTGAATCCACCTATTCAAATTGTGTATCGTCATCTGAGATCGTGTTAAATTTACCAAATAAACATGTCTATGAAGGTATATAAATGATATTATTGTTCTGTTTATTCTTAGCGATGAAATAATACAACCTATTCACGAGTTCGTCATTAGTTTCTATTTAAAGCCTTATTGTGATGTTGGCTGAGTTTAATTTAAAACGAAACGACACGGTAGCATTTTTATCACAAGACATTTGCCGCCAATCATTATAAAGTTTTGGATTGATGCTTTGTTTTGCGGGTAATTATTCATCAGTAAAACTAATGTTCAACCTCGTAGATACCCTTCTTGATCCGGTATTTTAATTGTATATCTCCTGGTGCTCTTCACACTACGTTATTGAACCCAACAATGCATATGTACTAAAGAGAGAAACAGAATGTGTAAATATTTCTTCTCAATTATTTTTTTCATCATGGCTCTACATTGATATATATATTTCATCTAAAACGGTAAAAATTGTTTAGTCTGGGAATTTCTACGATTGATTGCTTTGATTATTTACGGTATCATATCAATTATCTAAGTAATCACCCAATGTTATTTTCGTAATCAGTTGTGAAATTGTATTATCATTATGTACCACTATAATGGACGAGACTCAGGTGAGGACAACCGGCTTATTATTTAGTACAAAATACAGAATATCTCGGTAAAGAGAACCATACACTGAATACTTCATTGGCGAATTCGCATCCTTTGTCTTTCACATTCCGTATAATTCTTCCGATTCACAATTACTTTCTTTTATCTTTAGCTTGATCTTCTTGGCCTTCTGCTGTTAGGTTTTGCAATCCCGCTTGGTGTTGCATACTACTTATGTTGATAAACATAAGTAGCATACAACACAACACTACTACTCGGTTGGTATTGTTTTATTACTGTTAATTATATTTATGCACATAGATAAGTGTAGATCCATGATGATGAGCTGATTGGAAGTAAACATTTGTTTGCTCTATTGGCTAACTTCACACTTAATATCCAAGAGTGTATAACGGAAAAACTAGATATGCTAAACTTGAATACTGTGTTTGTACTTCAGTATATTAATTTAGATCTTATAATAACTTATTACACTATTCAAGTGTGATTCCTGTTGATGTGTGTCTGTAAACTATAATTAAAGTTATTACTTTATTCTTTTAACTGAAAATATGGTAATAGTATTCACTGAAAAAGAAAAAGCGAACATTGATTACAATCAATCATTTATGGTGAAAATTTGAAAAGAATAAAAATTCGTGTTATATACTACTTACTTGTTAATCCTCATGGAGGAACGTAAGCCGCCCACCAACACTCTCCATCCAACCGTGTCCTGGGCAAGTTATTTACTACGTAAAGTGTAGTTTCGTCTCTTATTATTTGCCAACAATTAATAATAGGAACTCAACTTTTCTACCGTTATATTGTGGTGTGGGTTACTTATATCCACACAAGTAGTATATAACGGATGTCAGGCGTAGAATGTATTTCAGTAAACGTTCGATAAGGAAGAAACTGGAACGGAACGCAATTGGTATGAAAATGCATGAACAATGAAATCTGAGACAATGGACTGATATTTGCAAAAGGAATAGTTAAGTTTGAGATGATGGATTGATATTTTGCAATTTAACTATTTAAAACACAATTGTATTAACGAAGAATATTTTTTTCAATTTTTATAAATTCCAATGATGTTTTCGCTTCTGTGAACTTTGCGTTATACTTCAGGAACTCATTGAGTGCCTTCAACTTAATGGAAATTTTTCAGCGATTAAAATTTTGTGATCAACCCATTGTGTTGAAGGCACTCGATGAGTTCCTGAAGTATAACGCAAAGTTCACAGAAACGAAAACATCATTGGAATTTATAAAAATTGAAAAGAATATTCTTTGTTCATACAATTGTGTTTTAATATAATGGGAATTTTTCAGCAATTAACTATTTACTTTATGGTTCTCAGGTTTTATTGAGATGCTCTGTAATTTCGTGTTGAAATACATTCGATTGTCTCCCACTCGTGGTCTTGTTTATTACAATATCAGTAGTTCTTTTTCTTTTCAAAGTTTTTTTCTATTCGTTTTATTACATAAATAATGAGGAAAGACAAATGATTAATTTTAGTTCACTAATATTAAGAAAAAAGTGAAAACATTAAAATTGTAATCTGACATTTATTATCCTACAACAAAATTGTGACGACGGACCACGGGTGAACTCGAGGAAGCTGTAGGAGGCTCAGAAGGAGCCAAAGATATTCCTTCCAATCACTTTTCGGAAGAATATTCTAGAATTTCTACGTGTAGCTTCCCAATTGGACAATGCCAATAACCCCCTGTATGCTGATTGGTGGACTGTAATGATGAATTTGTTCTTACTAAAAACTATAAATACTTGACAGTTTTGTACTATAATTTACACTGTCTGGGAATAATATTCCTTTCATTAGTCTTCTATCTTTTCATTGTGACTAGGAAGGGTTCTGGCGTTCTAGTGCTCACGTTGTACGCGGTATATCAAGAACAACCTTCTAGATATAACAACAATGAAATCATTTTAAGAAAAAACTTACATAGTTTAATACAAATTAGGTTTAACAATTTTACTAACCACATGAAATAGCTAAATGGTTAATAAAATTGACCATTAAACTTTAAACTTGTTTTTAAGCTTGACTCTATTCATGTGTATGAAACATTAATATTCTATACCTTTTTTTATTTAAATAATGTAGATATAATATAGTTTAAACAACATTTTCTTAAATATTTCATTTTAAACAAACAATAAAACCAATGGTAGATGTTAATGTTACAATTTAATTTGTAATTATAGTATAATGGATAAATTGTATTATTTTTGTGTTTATGAAACATGATTAACTAACTATATTCAATTAATCTCTACTCTTTTGTTTTTCAATTATATTGTATTTTCATACAGATTATCTTCGTACAGATTTTATTAAACATCCAATTCAAATTGATAATTATTATATAAATAAATTTACTAGTCTCAATACTTTATCATCATCGTCTTCATTGCCTATAGATAAAACTTCAATTGATATTTATAATGTAAGTTGCTATCTGTTTTTCAGCTATTCATATTTATTGTATTAAATGTTAACAGGTTACTTGTTATGTTTGATCTTTTTTTTATTTACTGTTCTTTACGCCCCGCTGCCCTGATTCATGTCTTGTACATATTGTGCTATACTGGGTAATTTTAATTTATATCTTATTGTATTAAAAAATTACAGTAATTTTGATAATGTTTTACTTAAGTGATTATCTTTGTTTTATAGTACATTCGTTTTTATTTTCTGATGAATATGATGGCCAAACCAAAACGTGGCATCAGTGCTTGAAGTCACTAACTTCTAGTCTGAGCCATGTTGGTAGATGTAGACTACTTGGTTGGAGTCCGCGTGACTATCGTAACCAATGGTTGGAGACTCTTGGTGACATTGCTCAGAATCGATCACAATGGCGTAGGTGTATACACCCTCTGTCTTCCCTTAAACTAAGAGATTAAAATCGCTTCATATCTTTCTTTCTATGAACTAGTTCTTTCTTCCTGTACTATATCCTTATTGCAATCTTTCTTTTATTTATTACCACGACTGGATTAACTACTTTTATGAATCCGGTGTCTATCTTGTTGTGTTAACGAAGTATGGCAACCTGGACCGATGCATATACGTGCCTGATCCTACGTTGTAGCTGACTGACTGATGAATATGATCATTTTCGCCAGTTGACAAGAATTGAAAAGAAAAAATATATATTCTAATACATTTTTAATAGAAATGGCGCAAACATGTACAATATACTGATCAATGTTATATATATCTTAGTACGTTGTTTTTAAGTAATCAACGAGACGTTAGTCAGTTATACTAGTATGTGATTTTATATCAGTGAATATTGTACAACCCACAATTACTGTTATCGCAAAAATTTTGTCCTGTGATCTGAACTTATGGTGTTCACTAAGACTCGATCTTATGACTCAATTTGTTGTGTTATTCAACTATTTTGTTCTTTTCTGAATCATCTGCATAGTTAATAGTTATTGATGTAGAGCTTTTTTCCCAAGTCACAACTTGGTATTGGTATAGGGAAAATGTTTGTTAGCTATTCAGTTGACTTTTTTTAATTTATAGATTTCTTTGAATTTCATTAAAGCTATGGAGCGATCCAAGATAGATCGCCATTGAAAACCTAGAAGAACTGGGTGGCTGTACTGTCATAGTACAGGAATCCTAATCACTGCGCATTCACGACTCCTCACGCTGGAAACGAACCCGAACATTCAGTCTCTCGCGTGAACGCTTAACCTGTAGAACATTGAGCCTCCATTCAACAGTGCCAATATTTAACCTCAACCAATCCATGATATTCCTCAACCATATTCCTTTGTCTTCGATGGGTAACTGCCTCACACCTGACACGGATTGGTTTTACGAATCATGGCTTCTCAATAAAACTCCAAAAATTTCCTCTTAAAACTGGTCACTAATGACCACATGATAATTTTCAGTGTGGGGTTAAATATTTCTTTTAACCACCACTGTCAGAGAGGTATTTAATCTTATTAGTTAATAATTAATTATCATATTGTTATATCTTGTGAACCTGTGTGCCCTGTTTATTGTATAACGCAACGATATCAACAATCAGAGAGCAGTGAGTTATCGATCGGACTAGTGACGCAATAAACACGTGCGAGCAGCATAGAGTCCTGATTGGTCCTGCTTTCCGCCTAGCCCAGCCAGTTGAGTCCAGACCACCAATCTCAGCTTCCTCAATATGAATCATTTATTTCAAACATACTCGGTTTATATATCAACCAGACAGACCACAACCTACCATAAAATATGAAACAACATTTGTACAATATACTCATAGTATTGGTCCATCAATAGATCCGAAAAATTACCATTCATTATTCTTATCGGGATATAACACATATCATCCTTTAATTCTCTTTATATTAATCTATTTTACATTTCAGAATTATGTTCAAATGAATAATATTGGCTTGTGTAATATATCCAAAAACAGTATGAATATCTATAAGGCAACAGCTTATCTGACATCACAGTTATTATATTAATACAGAAGTAAAAGACGGATATTTTTTTCAATGCAACTTATTTTAATTCTCTTACAGTATCAAATGTTTAATATTTTAAATGATCACTTTACGAATTACTAATTTTTCGTCTACATTTTCTGTAAATATATAGAATCAAATAGTGTTTTACTTTTGTACTTCACTTTATTATTCACTTATGCATAATGATACATGGTGTGTTGATTTGACTTTGTTTTATTCTTCTACTCTTACCATCAATACTGCTAATAATAATGCTCAGTCATTGATATGTTATTGATTTCTATTGTGAAATGTGGTCACAATTACCTTAATCAATTACTTGAAGATCTCGAGTTAAACGTCTGAAGATAGATTATAGCGATGGAGATGTGTTCATTCTTAATCTCTCTCTCTTTCTCTCTCTCTCGCTCTATATATATATATATATATATATATATATATATATATATATATTGAGTTGAATGCAATAATGTGCCTTACTTAGTATTCCTTCATCTTAGAATGAGACTACTTGAACTAGTACATATTTGTGTCTAATCTTTAATTGTTTATGACAAACTGGATTGATTTGTTAAATGATAACGATTTATTTTAAAGTAAATTAAAATAATTTTATGCATAATATAACAATTTCTATTTCCATTTACCCCTTTTGTCATGTTTTCCATGATTTGTTTTTCTATGAGACGTAATGATATCGGTTAAAAAATCGTCATTCGAAATTATTAAACAGTTATTATTTGAAAGTAAATAGTTATAATCAGTAGTGTAAGACGTTCAGAAAGTACTGTAATGATACAGTACTTTCTGGGGTATCAAGCCTGTCGCATGCTCTCATGGTGTTCTCGTAACTTTCGGGTTACCCGATCTGCCAAGGGCGATGGGACAGTGCATGATGCTATTGTTGTGTGCTAGGTTCAAAGAGAATTGTTTGCTATATGTATGCAAATCCGCCCCGTTATTGTTCTCGTTAGCCCCCAAATGCTCTGGTACGGCCGATAGTGGAGAGAGTCCGTTCTCCCTCTCGAAATGCTCCCACATGGCCACGCGTATATAGCCTGTTCCAGGGAAGTTCTACTCACTGCCTTCTCGTTGCATTACTGTTGTTTACGGAAATCGAATGTTTGGGGCTTTAACCGTGTTGATGGACATGGAGAGTCCACCCACGTGAGTTGGAAAACCTTGATTCCAAACCAATGGTGCACATGGGCTCCAGTATCCTGAAGGAACAAACGGTGTATGAACCAATAGTTGGTCACGGGCTACCATTGGACTGCATCTCCTCACGATGCTCCACTACCTTTTGGGTCAGACCTTTAGGCCGAAGGCTCCGGGTGTGGCCCTCTAATAAAACCATCTGCTTCGGTTTGGGCACCTTGGCAGTATCACAGCCCTCACATATATCAAATGAGATTTGTGTGGCGCATATGTATTTGGTGTCTCTTTGTACCACTATCTG